ATGCAGATGACGTAACTTCCTGGTCCACGACAGGCAGCGTCGGGGAGCAAGAACACACATTACAATGCGGCCTCGACGCTGTTCAGTTTTTTTTACAAGAAGTTGGTATGACCGCTTCTCCGGAGAAGACGGAGTACATCGTGGTACTTTCTGGCCCCCTACACCTCGCCGATGAAATGCGCTCCCTTTACAACTTGACACTAAACAACACCACTATCAGGCGAGAGCGATATGTGCGCATTCTCAGACTATTCATAGACGAGGACGGCAGAGTGGGGACATGGCTAAGTAGGGTCAAGATAGAAGGTACCCAAATCATTCACTTTATATGACGAGTTACCCACCGAAAGTGGGGCACAGGCGAAAAAAAAAACCAGACAGCTTGTCCGGGCCCTCTTCTCCTCAAAGGTGTTCTACGGCTACAACGAGCTACTTCTACCTAACACAACGCCAACGCGTCACCGTCGAGAACCTTAACAAGGAAGCGATGCGGCTTATCACAGGCCTTCCCAAGCACACTTGGCTATCGGATCTATACGCTCATGGAAACCTGAACAAGCTCGAGGATGTAGCTGAACAACTCATGTCTGTACAGCTCACTCGTTTGCTGGGTACCAAGGCAGGCCAGGCCATTCTCCAAAAGATCGGGTGCCCATCGTCCGCACCAAGACCTCTGTCGCTGCCACCACCACCCTGGAAAAGGCACGCCACCTTAACAGCGGACGCTTCCTTACCAGGACGCATGGACGCCAACCATCCAGAGCGACGAGACTATCATGCCAAGGCGCACGAGCGACAAATGGCCACCCTGGACCCACGACGACACGTCGTTTACTACACGGACGCTGCTAGCGCCCTCGTTCCTGCCCAGGGAGCACCCCCAACGTCGGCTGCGTGGGTTAACATAACCCACCCCGATGTGTGGTCCCAGCGGCCCCCCACAAAAGTGAGCCTGGGTACCCGCTTACTCGGGTATTCGGGGAAACGAATGGGCCAATAACGAGGTGCGTGCAGGACTGAGCAAACCTTGCGCGCCAATCGTACCCACCATCTACAGCGGGCCCCATTTCGATTCTTCGCAACCCGACGACAGTCAGCCGGACCTCACTGAAGGAGCCGCGCTCGCCAAGCTGAGGCGAAAGAAAATACTCTTCAACCTGAGAACTGCGGCCTCCTTTTTCAACAGGCATAAGAAAATGATACCCTTTATGCAGTGTTGGGAAGTAGTTGAAGTACATTGTACTTAAAGTACTACTTCAAGTGGGTTTAGGAAACTTGTACCTTACTTGAAATACATTCTCTGAATATGTACTTGTTCTTTACTTAAAGTGCAAGTACGAGCTACAGGGTATTTATAGTACTTTACTTTAAGTACATTGTACCCAGTGTACTTACTACAATACTTGAAGTACACTACGTCTAATTTGCTTTGTACTTTACTTGAAGTACCTTTTAGATGTACTTTATCTTGACTTCAAAGTACATTCCTCAAATTTGGTTTTGTTCAATTGGTATCAAGAAATGATGCTTTGTTAACTAGAAAAAAATGCTGGGGGGGGATATTGTACCCAAACCAGGAACGTGAGTAGGCGACGCATCGCTCCGTTTGTTCTGAGGGCGACTTTCACGTAGCTTTTTGAACTCTCACTACTTCTTGCTCGGTCAGAGCGGGCGAGGAGGTTTAAAATATTAGGCGAACAAAATTAATCGTAATGTAGCACCTCATACTGTGGTGCGGAAAAATCAAACTATCGAGTCGAAGAAAAATACAACAAAGGAGAACGTCAAAATGTTTTGAGACATTCTCTTTTGTCTTTTCCTTCGACTTGAAAGTTCCTTAATTTTTTCGCACCTCAATCCCAGGTGTCACATTATGATTAATAATCACCAGCTCGCTTGCACACTCCCTGTTTTCTTTTTTTTCTTTTTTTTGTTAATTATTATTAAGGAGAGGACACTTCTCTATGAGAGGATTGTTTGCGAAAGCTGCAGGGCTGACGTCATGCTATTTCCTTGTACATTTAAACCCCCTTGGGTGCAACACTCTAGTGCTGATAATAAGTACTCTGTGGCCACTTTATCAAACATTCGCCACTGTTTGAAAAAGGTCATGCAGTCCTGATTACCCCTGGGCAATGCATACCAGTTAAAAAAATCATTGCATTGGGGAATTAAAGGGCATCATGAACGATTCTGTTAAAATACTTGTACTTCCCTTCGAAATTACATTGTGTTTACAGTACTTTACTTCAAGTACATTGCACCCAGTATACTTACTACATTAATTCAAGTACATCATGTCTAATTTACTTTGTACTTTACTTGAAGTATCTTTTAGATGTACTTTACCCAACACTGCCTTTGTGCCAGCAGGCGCGAGCCGCAAGGCCCAGACTCTCGTCCGCCATACTGCCACTAACACCCTTATGCTGCCGGCCCTGTACAACCGCATATTTCAAGATGACCCACACCAGGGCTAATGTACAGCACGCAACACCCTTGTGACGAAGCAGCACGTTATCTGGGAGTTCCCCGAGCACGCTGCGGCTCGCTTCGATGCCTTGGCTGACATCCTGGTAGCAGACCAACCTAACATCTTTGAGGACTAAATGATCCCATAGGACAAGGCGCCGCCTACAGTGCGGCTCCTGTGGAATCAGCTCTGCAGCTTCTTCTACGCGGACGGCGGACCACCGGGGCTCTTGCCCCGATGGTCATCGGTGTCTGCGAACGATCGCGGTTTGGAGCGTTTGGCGACGTTTTGCAGCATCGCATTGTGAAACGGCCGTCGGCCGCTCTCAGTCGCGGCTGTGCGTGTGTGTGTGTGTGTGTTTTTTTTGCCGCTGCGTATGCCTTAAAGCAGCAGCAGCCATGCATGGCGTTAAAATAAAGACGTTTTTGCAACTCAACTCAAGGCGGCTGTGCGATATTTCCGTCTTTTATCATAGCCCCAGCCTCGTACCTTTAGCGCACTACGCTTCCCACGCGCTCAAAGTATTTCTAAAAGTTTTTGATTTAGTGGTCTTGGATAACGCTAAGCAAATTGCTAATTGGAACCATAAGTCACTTTTCACTAATTAGAAAGTTAACTATCAATTTTGACCTAATTAGCCGACTGATCGTTACTATTAGCCCGTATGGTATGTCTCCCTGGCCGTATAACTCACCTGCCCAAACCGCGTAAGCGTAGCCTTCTCGGCTTTTTCTAAACAAATCTGTTAAGCTTAAAAAAAAGAACACCCTGTATAAATCCCTAAGTTTCTCAACAGCTGTATAGAAAGAATTCTAAACCTTGAGTTACTTTCCGTTAAATAGTTGCGCTCTGTTTTTCTTATGGATGTTTGAACATTTAATGTTGATTTCATTTTTTTTTTGTTTTACAAATGTAATAATGTGTTGTAGTTTTTTGTGTGTATTGTGAACTGGCTGCACAGAGTGATTTGTACCACTGCTGATGGGGCCCAGGGCTCGTCAAGCCTCGGTTTGAAGCTTTCCCCTTCCGCTCCACCATTTCTTTAAAATGGAAACTAAACAACAATAATAATAAGAAGAATATTAGTATTATGATTAGTCATATATATATATATATATATATATATATATATATATATATATATATATTAATGAATAATATTTGCAGCAGCATTCTCCAAGCATTGTTTTCTGCTGATTGGTCATGAAAGACTGTTTTTCAACGGCATGTGTCTGTGCAAGGCGATATCATAACATTTTCGATATCACTGCGGAATTCGCCTTCAAAGGCATATATTTTTATATTACGTGTTTCAGTTCGGTTACCCTTCAAACACACCTTAAAATTGTAACCTTAAGTTTCTAGGTATGAGTTCATTTTAGGTATATTGACGACACAAATTTTTGGGGAGCAAATTTTATAAGTCTTTAGAAAAGGAATTAAAAATATTTGGATTTAAAAGGGGCAGCGACCTTTAGCCCCAAGGTCCTAGAATGCATGAAATGAAATATTTGAGGAGCGATCGTTTAAATTTGTTTAAAATACATTAAAAGTCACTTCAAGAAGTAAAGAACCTATTTCTTTTTCTTTTTTAATTTCCCTGCTAAGTTTAGTGGAGAAAGCGACCTGTAGCATAGGCCACGTGATATCAATTTTCCCGCAACATATCGTGGGGAAACATAATTGGTACATACGTCATGCGATGTCAATTTTCACACTAAATTTAGCGGGGAAACTGTCTTGTTATGGCACGTTATGTGATATTAATTTTCCAGTGAAACTTAGCGGAGATACTGAATTCGTGTTTAGCGGATGTGACGGTAAATCCTCTGAAAACTTTTTGCGTGGAGATTGAATATGGGTATAGCTCACGTGGCATACGTATATGGTCAAGTAACAATAACACCTGAGACTGTGGCGCGGAAAAATTAGGAAGCCAGGGACAAATTAACGTCTCGACTGAGACGTTTTTCTCCGCTGTCTTTTCCTTCGACTTGAAAGCTCCTGAATTTTTCCGCACCGCAGTCTCATGTTTTACATTACTGACTATATACAGTCGGTGACAAAAACACCAACTAGGTGCTCAGCCTCGAGGGCGAGCTTTCAGGTTTTGATAGCGCCTCGCCGCACGCGCAGCTGAAGCCGGGTCAAAAGGCAATGAGCGTGTGGTGTGCTGGAGGCATAGGCCGGGTTTTTAACCTGTCCCCAACTATAGAAGCTGTCCTTGATTTTGTTTAATTCTTGTAGAGACTGTGGGAGAGGAGATCAGAACGTGCAGGGACACCAGAGAGCCAAGCTCTACTGGAACAATTATTGGTTAACCTCAAACTTATCCGCCTTCGACGCTATTCACTGTTCGAACACGTTTGAGCGCGTTTGAAGAGTTAGCAGGGACGAAGGCTGCTAGCTTCGCGTCTACCGACTGATCGTTCCACCTAGAGCTCGACTCTCTGGCGTCTCCGCTCGATCTGACCTCCTCCTCTCTCCCAGTTTCTACCCGTATTCGTACATTTTCTTTCTAACAAAGGTAAACCGGCGATACGCAGCGCTGGAACTTCCCAAAGTGAAGTTCGTTCTCGTCGGTGTCGTCCTGGCCAAGGTACGTATGTGCGCCTCATACAACATAAAGTCTGTAGGCATGAAATGTACAGTGACTAGCGCTGTTTCTGTTTTATATAATTTATTGCAGGACGACACCTACGTAGTTACGACAACGCGCCCAGACAGTAGGAGTCCAGGCAGTAATGTCACGTACCTCGTCGCAGAAGATTCGATTTTGAGATTACAGTGGCTAATTCAAAAAGATCTGCTTGTAGTTGAAGCGGACGTGCTCGTTTACGTCACAGGGTAAGAATACAATTTCTCCCCGCATAATATTCTCGGTATTTTTATTCTAACAATATTATGACTGATGCAACTTTGTGTGAAAATATACATTTTAAAGTCGCAACGTCGATGATCAGTGATTTGCCTCAAAATTGGTTCAACACGTTAACATGTGCATCTGAACCACTAATCCAATTTGCAAATCCTTTTTTTTTTTTTTTTTGGCGAACTTATTGAAGTTTAAAGTTTGGTATGAGAGTCTGAGAGGCTCTACTGGCCACGCCGAAAACGTGATGTCAGGTGTTATATGGCGCAATAGGGGTACATTATGATGTAGCGAGGTTAATGTCATTACTCGCAAGACAATAAGGATACCACGCAGCTGGAACGCTCGCGGCAGCAATTGTAAGCCAAGGGGTCTGTATATTTTTAGGTGAAGAGAAAAAGGGAAGCCAGGAGAGGTGTGCTATAGGACGGTAGCCGCCGAACGAGAACTTGGGTCCTTGGCCCTTGTATATAAGTCGAAGTTTTGACCTTCGCCATTCGGCTGGAATCTGTCCTCCTCTCGTGATCTGGCTCTAAGTCCGCTGCAGGCGTCCTCTCATCTTCGGCCCGAGTAAAACTTTGGTTGGGGCTAGTTGGTACATATCGACTAGAAGGTTACAAGGCGCGAACTAAACAGGACGGGAAAAGACACACGCACGACACGGACAGGCGCCAACTGCCAACTGATTAAACGAAACACGAAAAATCGTTAAACTGTCGATCCCAATCACCTAAACACATGCAACCGATAAAGGTTCCTATCGCTCATTACACAGAGCCCTCAAAAACACAATTTTTTTTGTTTAGTAGATAAAGGGATGGCATGCTTACGCATTTGTCAGCCGCTTGGTGTATACAGAAAGCTTCGATTAATTCCCTTTCCATCTTCTCATTCCCTCTCTTAATAAACCTTGTGTGCTCTAACAAAGGTTCACACCCACATCGTTTGCAGTGCTCAGCAAGATGCCCACCCGAGTTATTGCGTACGGCTAGCTTGTGTTCCCGCGCTCTTTCATTTAAGCATGGGCCGGTCTGAGCGATGTAGGGGGTTTTCGTTGCGCCGACTCTTTACTAGTTGCTCTAATACCTCCCACAGCACATCTACGCTGGCCAGTCTCCTTCCCTCGCTCGCGTTCCGAGGTGTCTTTGGGCGGATCTGTTGCCCTAAAAAAGAGGCTATCATCCCCGTGATCTTAGTCAGTCGCTGCACTCCTTCATTGGAGTACAGCGTGCCCTCCTTTCTGAAGCACCTCGGGTTTATTACCGGCTCCATGTCCAGGAAACGCGCCCTGAACCTTATGCACATCGCCCGTATCCGTGCCTTGGCTGCGCCTGCTTGCAGTTCCTTGCCCCGGCTAGAGACGTCCGGTTCTAGCCGCCCTTACCGACACCGTTGCCTATCGAGAAATATCTGGTTCCAAAAGCACAGCAACAGCTGTGCTGTTGGAACCAGCCGGTATTTCAAGTTTTAAGCCGCTAGACGGCTTCGTCTGCGCCGCAATTCTTAAAGATGGCGGCGCTAAAAAACTGGGGTAAATAAAAAGTAAGCTGATAAGTGCTGTGGTAGATGTCGCTACCATTATGTTGTATCTGCGAAAGTGTAAAGAGGTAGACGAAGTTACTTGTTTGTTCCACCCGGACCAGGTGCGTGTGTGTGTTCGTTGCTCTCTGAACTTGACGGACGCCGGTCCCGTGTCAGAAGTAAAGTGGCTAAAGCGTTTTTTCTTTTTTTTTCTTTTTTTTGAGCGATTGCATTAGCCTCGAAGAAGACCGCTATGGCGGAAGGGGAAGGCGCCGCCGCCGGTCCGGGAGCGTATCCAGTTGGTCCGCTCAATCTACGAGCACCGCCCTAGTTGGACTTCAGCAACCCCAAAAAATGGAAGGGCATCAGGAGTTCAATAGCTACGTCTACGCGTCGGGACTGTACGCCAACAGCGATAAAGTGCGTGTTCGGACCCTACTATACTCCACGGGGCTGCAAGCGCGGGACGTCCTGACTTCGCTACACATGGGCGACTCAGACTTCGACAACTACGATCTGATTGCCGAGAAGTTCAAGGTGTACTTCGTTCACCCGGTCAATGTGCTGTACGAGAGCGCATACCTCCACAGACGGTTGCAACAAGCGGGTAAGCCTGCAGACTCCTTTTTTACGAAACTTAGCAACATGGCAAAAAAATGTAACTACCCGTCGCGAGAAGTGGAGGAGCGGATGATTCGCGACCGTTTTGTGGTGGGCTTGCGAGACACAAAGCTGTCCGACAGACTTTGCCTAAACACGAATTTTACGTTGGATGAGCTTGCGTTGGACGAAGCGCTCATTCAAGCTTACCAATACGAAGACGCGGAGAGGGAACGGAAGCTGCAGGACTCGTCGGCATCCACGGCCACGGCAGCTTCAACGGAAGCAAAAGCATTAAGCATTCATGCGGCGAAAGTTGTGAAGAACTACCTGCCAAGGCCGAAGCAAGCAAGCGGCTACGCAGCGAGTGCATCTTAATTCATGCGGGTTTTGCGGACGTTCTCCGCATCCGCGCTAACCGCGCGCAATGCAACAAGTGCCACAAGAAGGGCCATTTCGTAGCTGTCAGCCATTCTAAGAACAAGCTGGCTTCGCTGGAGCTGCTGTTGACAAGACCCGCCAATCAACCATTGGACGTGCTCGGAACGTTCGCCGCGGCATTTGAATAAAAAAACCAAGCGCCTCAGGTAGAAGCTCTACGTGGTGCGTTTGCAGGCCCTTGTTGGAATTTCCGGCAATTCAGGCGTTGGGCATGGTCAAGTTTGTGAATCACCCTCCGGAGTCTTCTACCGAAAGCTGTACTAGTGAGCTCGACGGGACTTTGTCGACCCAGTTCGTTCAGGGCCTCGGCGAACTTCGGGAGCAGTGCACAATTCGTCTCCAGCTGAACGCGGTACCGTATTCGCTGCACGTCCCGCGAAGGGTCCCTATCCCGCTACGCGATGTTGTGAAGTCTGAGCTAGACAAGATGGAGGCCCAAGACGTAATCCGAAGAGTAACCAAGCCGACACCGTGGTGCGCAGACATGGTAGTGGTGCCGAAAGCTTCGGGATACCGCTTTTGCGTGGGCCCGATTCGACTGAACAGGGTTGTACTGCGTGAACGTAACATCCTGCCGACAGTGAATCAAGTGCTGGGACTTCTGGCGAGGCGCGAGTCTTCTCCAAGCTCGACACTACTTTGAGTTTTCACCAAGTGGACCAGTCAAGTGAGTACCAAGAACTCACAACGTTTATTACCCTGTTCAGAAGGTTCTGCTTTTGTCGGTTGCCTTTGGGGATTACCTCTGCGTCAGAATATTTCCACGCCAGATGTCGTGCATCCTGGAGGGCCAGGTTGGAGTTGTCAATATAATCAATGACATTTTCGTTTTTGGTCGAGATGGTGTGGAACATGACAAGCGCCTCACAGAGGTTCTCGATCGCTTAAAGAAGGTAGGTCTGACTCTGAACAGTTCCAAGTCTAAGTTTGGCGTCACCAGTGCAAAGTGTTTTGGCGCGGTCGTCAGCCAGAATGGTATTTTGCCAGACCCTGAGAATGTGGAGGCTGTACATCACATGGAACCACCGGTGGACGTCGTAGGTGTCCGCAGACAGTTAGGCATGGTCAACCACGTGAGCAGGTTTTCGCCACATCTGTCTGACGTCACAGCACCTATTCGAGAAGTGCTGAGTAAGAAGAGTGCGTGGTTCTGGGGAACCAAGCCAGCAGGCTGCCTTCCTAAAGTGGAAGACTATGCTCTCTTCAGACATTTGTGTGGCTTGCCACAATCCGGAGCGCACGATCACAGTGTCTCCTTAGTCCAGCTCCTTCGGTCTCGGGGCAATTCTGCTCCAGGATCAACCGTCAGGCGAGCGTCGGGTGGTGGTCTTTGCCTCGCGGTCACTCACAGCAACCGAGCAGAGGTACAACCAGACCGAAAATGAGACTTTGGCAGTAACATGAACCGTGCGTCGATTCGATGAGTACGTCCGGGGACTGCGGTTTAACATGGAAACCGATCACCAACCCTTGACTGCGTTGCTTGAAAAACATGAACCTTCTTCCTCCACGAGTTCAGCGACTGAGGATCAAGTTTATGCGGTGTCAGTACCAGATCTTTTACGTTCCTGGGATGCTCCTGGCAACGGCCGACACCGTGTCTCAAGCGCCGTTGGGCCGGGCAGCTCCTTCAACCTGCGACAGCTATAGAGCTGTACGTCCAGAGCGTGATTCCCGCAATTCAAGAAGGTGCGCCCGTCAGTCTCGAAATGTTCCGTCGACAGTTAACAGATGGCGAGTGTACAGCACTGGCAAAGTTCTGCGACCAAGCTTCCATGTCTCCTGACGAAGTACTGGAGCTACCGCAGAGAACTAGCCGTTTGTGACGGTGTGCTTCTCAAAGGAGGACGTCTCGTGATTTCTACATCGCTGCGACCTGAGGTTCCGCAGGCCATTCACGAGGGACACCAAGTAGTGAACCGATGCAAGGCACGGGCTTGAGACTCGGTGTTGTGGCCTAGTATCAGCGATTAAATCGAAACCATGGCCGAGAAGTGCGAGCGCTGCGCATCTACGAGGCTACAGCTGGATGAAACTCTCATGACGTCGCCTCCAACAAAGCTACCTTGGCAATAGGTGTAAGTCGATTTATTCCACTTGAACGGTCAAGATTTTCTACTGTTAGTGGACTATCACTCACGTTATCCAGAAGCAATGACACTGCGAAGCACGTCAAGTCAAGCCGTGATCTCTGGATCCCGGAGGTACTTCGAAGTGCCAACAGACCTAAGTTGTCCTCTCACGACTTCCCCATATTCGTGGAAGACTACGGATTTAAGCACGTCGTTATCAGTCCGGGATTTCCGCAGTCAAACGGAGAAGTGGAGCGTACAGTGCGGACGGTGAGGAATTTCTTTGTTAAAGGCGACGATCCGTTTTCGTTACTTCTCGTCTATAGAGATACACCAGGCATCTTGGGTTTCAGCCCTGATCAGCTGCTAATGGGTCGACAGCTGCGGGCTTAAGTACCCAAGGCTGCAGAGAAGCTCCAGCCAGCATGGCCGAAGACACAGGTCTTCCTGGAGCGGGACAGCGCGGCGAAGCGATGCCAAACTTCCGACTTCAACCGTCGTCACGGAGTGCTTGAGCTCAAGGAAATTTCACCTAGCGAAGATGTGTCGGTGACCGAAGCACAGCGCACTGCCCAAGTGCTTAGCCTAGCGCAACGCCCACGCTCCTACATTGTCGAAACTCCGCGGGGTGTGTTGCAGAGAAATCGGTGGCACCTGGGCCGGTTTGCTCATCTTGCGGACGCGGCCACGGCTGCGGCCAAGAGGGATTTTTTTGTCACGTGACCAGCTCCATGGGGACAAGCAAGTAGCTAACGTCCCTGCCCTAATGGTGGAGAAATCCGTATCGCTTCAAGCACAAAAGCCTAACTTCACTCGCAGAAACTGACTGCAGGGACTTTCAGCTGGAGTCCAATTGGCCGCCCCTTTATACTGTAAAAGCGGCAGGTAAGGTTACGGCCAGGGAGGGTAAATATGAGCCAAAATAAACAAAAAACCGCGCGAGATACAAGCGGCGGCGGTATATTTTTATTCTTCCGCCAGCGCCGGCGGCTCGCGTTTTCTGCTGTTGTGCGAAAAAGATTGACTCGCGACCTTCTTGACGTACTTTTTCCGGTGCCACTTTACCGACTGCCGTATGTGGCAGGTCCTGGACAGGACGTACTGACCTGTGTTAAGAAAATGTGTGTGCCGCCAGCGGTAAAAACGTTTTTCTTCCGTTTACACACCGACACCTTGCCAGTGAAGGTAAGGCTTCAGGAGCGGGGCATGTACGTTCCTTGGGGTGTCAACTGTTTGTTGTGTCGACAGCCTGAGGCTAATGAGCATGCGTTCCTGAATTGCTGGGACGCTGTCTTCTTTTGGGATGTTTTACAACGGACCCTGGAACATTATATGTGCATTGATAAATACACCAATCGTGGACCGGGAGACCTGTCCATTAAACCCTACTTGTACGAAAGTCCGTTCAGAGTGGTCACAGACTACTACTCGCTTTGCTGGCTCGCGAACCTGGAGGACCCGCCAGGACGCCTTGTCCAATGGAGCCTACGACTGAAAGAATTTGCCATGTCCGTAGTGTACAAGTCCAGCCTCAACACAGAGACGCGGGCTGTCTGTCAAGAAACCCCGTCGTGTCAGCTTCTACCGGCTACGACGACAACGACGACGACAAGAACAGGTTTTCTTCGTGCAGTCGAGGTCGACAGTATGGCGGCACTCCAACGAACCGGCCCTGAGCTGCGGGCACTGATCGACCATATGGAAGGAAAAGGAAGTAGACTTTCCTCTCTCTTCACACGAGCCGTGGCAAGCTTCGCCGTCCGACAAGGCGTGCTTTACAAAAAGAACTTCGGGGACGATAATTCGGTCTTTTTGTTTCTGGCACAAGTTCGCCGATTAAACCTTTCTTTTCAGTTAATTTTTCATCGTCTCGTCACCTTCATCCATGACAATATCAGTTTATAGCGATGCCATTATTTGCTTTGTGACGTCATGCATTCCCCAGCGTAGAGTAGGGTTGATATACGCGATCCAAGTTTCGACCAGAATTTTAATATTTTACATAATTTTATTTGTATTTATTGCAAACTTTATCTGTATTGTTTGCAATTTTTTTTTCTACTCAACGTGCATTGGCATTTTTGTATCAAGATGCAGATAATGACTATCATGAAAAGTAAATGTAAACTGGTCTATCATATACCAAAAAGTAATTATACGCCTGTTATATAATCACAGTTTGGACATCGCATCGCTGAAAAGAGGTGTACTTGAACCGAGAATGCATGGTAAGTATTAAGTGTGTTTTTCCTATATCTAGTTTACTGTCAGCGACGGCTATTCGCGACTCCAACTAACTATAGGTGGCGCCACTCATTTTTCAAAATGGCGGTTATAGTGAGGGTCGGAGATGCGTGCCGCTGTTGAGCTTGTCTAGTGTTCTGGCTTCACTGAGCGTCACAAATTATTTCTGGTAATACGAGGAGGCTACGGTGTTATGGGCTCAGGTCACCACTTTACCCTGAAAACAAGAACGGTGTTTAGCGTAATATTTACGCAAGGATGCGCGTTTTAATTCTGGAGCGAAACCGAAACTTATCTCTATTTTCGATTTAATTTCTCGGTATCGGTTTTAATTTCGGGTTCCTTCATACCTCAATATGTGTGTCACATCGTAAATATTTAGTTAAAGAAGTTGTTTGCCGAAAATTAATTTTGTGACATACTATATATGTTTCAATCCAAGCTGATATTTGTGCGTTCTCGCTGCATTTTCTTGCTCATTTAATTACCATGGGAAATAATGAACTGCGGGCCTTTTATTGAGCTTTTGGGTATTTAGATGATTAATTGGTTTAACATTATTCCCAGCACAAGAATAAGAGAATAATTCTAATTTTTACAGTATGTCCACAAACCGTATAAATTAATAAACGCTGTTCTCACTGCAACAACCTAAAGACGGCATCTGAGCCAGACAGCTGAAGTGTGTGTGTGTGTGTTTGTGTGTTTTATAGCAACGCGTGACGCATAGGACTTTATATTACATCCAGTGTTTGACTGTTTTTTCGATCTTAAAAACGGTGTCAGAGTTTTTCGTATGTTAAAAAGAAAACAAATTATACCTTTCTGGAAAGACTATTATGGTTAAATGGCCTATTTTCGTGATCTTGGCGTTAATTGGGGGCCTACATTGCCGCAATTGGTATTAATAATAATATTAAAATTCAGATATTGTAATACGTAATTTTTTTCAAGCGTTGCGTATGATCTAATTTCAAACGCGCGAACAAATATGACAACCAAAAGCTTGCTAATTATCGTCACTGGTGCCAATAGCAGCATTTTAAATTACCATTAATAAAATAAAAATAGTCCAAAGTCAATTAAAGCATTTTAGCTAATGTGACAAATCCATGTAAAATTACATTAATATTAAATAAAATATATTTTTCTATCAAAGTCACGACTTTTGACAATCGGCACAACGTAAGTCGCCGCCAATATCCTTCCAAACCAAACGCCCCCTTCAAAAAAAAAAAAAAAATTAGTTATTAATTTTTTTATAACATTTAGTTGCTTCCATTTTTACGCTCCGTCGTTTTGCCAATCTCAGCCTTTCCGGTTCGAAGGAACGCCTACTTGCTTGCACGTCTGCTCACTGCAGCACGTTTCGTTGGCGTTGGAAGCCGGTGAAGCAGTAGTGAGTTTTAGTATTCCGTATACGAGCGAATGCAAGTGCTGTTTGTTTGCATTAGCTTGCGTATTCCACACTGCGCGTGCGCGGAGCCCAAAATTGCGGTCTTGGATGGCGCATGGCGATGAGGCGCACGCACAACGTGGGATTTGCAACTCCAACGCAAACGCACAGCGCTTGCGTTTGCTTCTATGCGCATTACTAAAACTCTCCAGTAAGGTACAATCCCATACCGGCTGCAGCACTACGTTGGGACAGTGAAGAGTGTTGTTTGCATTCGGAAATGACATTTCGCGAGCCATGAACGCGAGCGGTTCCGCCGTGCCCGCTGAGCAGGAGAATCGGGGGACCCTCACTAGAGCGCTTCCCTTTTCCGCCGCGGGAGGGCGAGCGTCGAGCTGGAGACGCGAATACTTTCCGCATATTATAACTTGATCATTCTCTAGATATCCTCCGGTTTGTGATTTGGCGTTAAATTTTGCAATGATGTGCAATGTCTTTTAACTTTAATTATTGCTACCTATTAATTCATCGCGATCAAGTGAGTCTTTTCGAAACATAGCTCGTTTGGAGTGTTTGATTTCGAGCCAGTTTTGATGCTGCAGCCATCTAACGGAGATAGGAACCGAACAACTTTGGTAATTGAAATTCGTCAGACCGTATTTCTCGTTCCCCTAGAAGGAACTGTCATACTTATAACATATCTTTTGCCAGATTACCCAAGCGCCAATAAAGGAACATGCTGCGAGTGTTGTTGCACGCGCTGCACACGCATGCGTTTGCAGCAGTATAACGTTATAAATAAAAATGTTAAATCAAATTACACCTTGCCTTGCATTCGTCAACGCCTTATTTTGGGTATTTAGTACGAATCTTTCATAGATATATAAGTCGAACGTGTGCGGCCCGTGTACCTACGTTCCCCACATGCTCCTTGGTACTTGGGTAACGGACCAATCTCGGCAGTAAATTTGACTACGCTAACGCTGCCGCAATGCATCGAGGAAACTTTAGTATTTCTGCACGTGCGACAACCTCGCTAGAGATCTGCGCATGTAGAGCACGAGACGATACGAGCCATCTCGTGCAATGCCGTCTTCCTCTTTAGCCCTCACGGCGGGACCAGAGCTGTACCATACTTTGTAAATCACCAATGTCTCGCCTAGTCATCCGTATCTAAACTGGATTTCCGGGTTGACTCCAGATTTTTTTCAACAAAAGTGCCAATAAACATATTTTCACTCACTCATTCAAACTATATATATATATTGGCGTCAGGCATGCACCGAACGCTTAGTGAGGTCGATCTATTAGGTAAAAACATATATTCCTTTAGTATGCAAAACAAATAGAGTTGTTGGCGACGTCTTCCGACCAAATACGTTTAGTCCGGACTCTTAAAAAGTTACATTCTAGCTGGTAAATAATGGAACTGCTTTTTTTATTTAGTATTTTACCTGTATTGATGGGCTCTGGGTTCCTTTAGCACGCTAAAGCACTTCGTAAACAGCCGCTTTCCCTTTCCCTCCTCTCTTAATCTTCGTAAACCGGCATAATAGCCGGCATGATAAAAAATACGAGAAGGCACAAAAGAACCAATAGAAACGACAACGTGGCATTTTCTCTGTGGTTATTATATGCGACTGTTTCAAGGCTTACCAAATGAACGTCTTCATTTTTTAGCAAAATCACAAAGAGTTTAGATAAATGCAGTACTATGACTGGCTGCTCCATAGTAAAACTTCTAAAGACCATGTTGACGCCAGAAAGAAAACTAAAAATTAAAAAAGTCTCTAAAAATTGCGTGTCACTCATTGAATACGATTGGACTCATCCCGTTTTGTCAAGCGGAATTAATTCTGCTTTCAGTCCACGCATTATTTACGGGGCTGTGCAAGCGGTGGTTCGAATCAGCAAGCGCCATGACATTTACATCCTCCCGTGCGCAGTAAAAATCCATGATATACCAGCTCTCTTTGCAATGTTGACTGAGGATTGCAATGCGCTATTCAATTCGAAGCAGTTTTCGCACACCCCTATACAAAATATTTATGAGCTTTCATTGTTACGTAACGTCTTTGTTTCGCAAATCTTAGGACTAGCCTTCGAGGATGCTCTTTGTGGACCCAAGAGAGTCGCCGAACTTGAAGATATTCCCGGATCATTTAGGTTGATCGACATCATGGCGCACGAACTGGGGCACGTGTAAGTCTCTAATGTGCATAGCAGCAATTAAAATTGAACTGGGCCGAGCGAAACATAATGATGAATAAATTCATAAATGTTTAATACAAGAAGTTACATCGATCCCTCTTGACTTTAGTCATCTGGGTCGGAGGATGCTGGGATGAAACAGGGCAGTGGGGCTAATTTAGATGGAGGAAGACAGACCTGTTAACTTGATAAAGTCCAGCAGGGAGTCGAGGATTTCCTTTGCGGTGACCCGCATCCCTAGTCGGGGTGACCCACTCTGGCCACCTTGTTAATATTTCGTCATTAGGAGTTTTGTTTAAATTATTTTGCCTGAACCGACGGCGTTTAAAGTATTCCCAGAACACGTGATCTATGCTTGCCGTGACTTGGCCTTTGTGACGTGTGTAGTCTGGTGGAGGTCCCGGTTTTTTTTCTTTTGTGTATTCTTTTCCTTGCCCCATCATGGTTGTGCCGGTGCGGAATCTGTGTTTACACGCCCTACTCCATCGACCAACAAAGGGGGGAACAATACGCGAGAGCATAACGCGGTAACAACATCAGAAGTGAATATGAGGTGTTGGAGGATAACGCGGCCAGTGCCACGGGCAGGAGGCAATTACACAAATTAGCTTGGGTTTTGCACGCATAGTGACAGGGGGGAAGAGAAACATTACAGCAGATGGCACAACCAGTAAGCACGAGACAAGTAAAGCGTCACACTAAGAATAAACAGAGGTGAGACCGAAGGGCGGTGCGAAAGGCGGTTGAATCCGCCTTGGTGTGAGGAGAGGTGAGGAGAGGTGCGGGGATGTGGTTCCAGTGTTCTATAGTATGGGGGAAAAGGGAGGGGTTAAAACATGCATATTTGAAAAACCGGAGACGTCGGACGAAAAAGGGGACAACACAGAAAACGTCTCAAACGCAGCTACTAAACTTTATTGACACAGTCGTTCATATACCATCTCCTCCTCCCCCCCCCCCCCCCCCCCCCCCCCCCGTCTCTCGGAAACTGCACACGCCCCTAGGATTTTCAGCCAGGGAACAAAAAATGTGTAACATAAACCAGCTCACCTGCCTGCTCACTCTATCTTCAGTTAAAATGGGTTGTGCTGCCTGATATGCGGGAAACGTGACACAAGTGATTTAGCCCCAAAGAGGATCGTCTGGGGGGGGGGGGGGGGGGGGGGGGAGGGGGGGGGGGGGGGGCTGGAGGGAAGGGTAGGAGGGGATAGTCTCGAAGCGCAGGAGGGGAAAGGCGCGTTATCGTGCCGCGGATGTTTCTGGACTGCCTCGAGATGGTTTGATAAATAAATTGGGTGAGGGCTCCATAGGGCCCCAGCATATTCCAGTTTGGGTCGAATGTACGTCTCATGTGCCATTTTATGCCCCAACTCGGGACATAAAACGTCTGATAAATGTTGGTATTGTTATTCAAGTCGGAGGTATTTGTTTTTAATCAGATTCTAGGTTACTTTTTATGTAGCTTGATGCAACGAGACGCCTCAGCAGAGATGAGCTCGATATGAGCGTTCCAGTTAAGATCGTTCGTTAGGGTCCCGCCGAGGTATTTACTAGATGGGCCGTCCTGAACTAAGTTATTTTCTAATTTGTACGAGAACTGAGCTAATTGTCGTTTCCGTGATAACTGGACTAACTCACATTTTGATATGTTTATTGACATTAATCATGCGAGTACACCGTGCCTGTACCTTTTCAAGGCATGGTACTTCTTGAAAATAATATTTCCTTTTACGAACACGTAATTAATTCAATAAAACATGTGCACCACCCCTAATTCTTCGGAGTTATTTATGGACCGACGGGTTGGAGCCAAGTTAGTTGGGCCATTCTTGTGAATAGAACCAGCTGAACATGCATACAAGAAAATTGTGAGAAGTGGCCGTGATCGCTAAACGAACAATTGTATTAATAATAAAAAAAAAAACTTTCGTGTTCCTCTTATTATGTATCCGCAACACTCCATACTGAAATGTCTATGTTGCATTCCTTTTTTTAATATTATTCTGTGTCATGCGGTACATATCCTATATAGACAAAACCGTTGCATCAATGAAAGAACACGAGAACATGTTTCATCATTGAACTGCCTCTCAACAAAACATCTACCAGTTCATTGCAGAGAGTGCCGATGCAACAAGCAAAGCAAATTGTTTTGTGTATGCTTATGCAGCCGGAAGTTAGTCTGCCTCAGCGGGCGTCTGGTCTCCCAGCTGTAAGTGAGCAATTTAGCCAGTGCGGTACAACCGCTAGCCTGGGGCCTTTAACGTGCACCACACAGTAGTGATGCACAACCACATGCCGGTACGATGCTCATCCAGAAAGAAACGCGCCGGGATGGGGATTGAATCCAGGATCCCTGGAGTCCGTAGTATGAGCTTTCGCTCCACGTGCTCCCAGCTGGTGTGCGCTAGCCCACTCGGACACCAATCCCCCTGCCGACGCACCGTGAAGCTGGAAAACATCACCATCGTTGAGAAAACAAAGATCGATGACGAGAAAGAAAAAAACATTATTGCACGGCACCATGGTTTCGAGGATATGAAGAAATTCCGCGTTTCAGAAATGTCGAACCGGAGTAGCGGACACATAGTAGAGGATGAAAACATAAGGTTTTCATTATTAATACAGTTGTTCATCCAGCTATCATCAATTCCTCTGACTTTTCTTATATGTTTATCGGATCATAGATGTAAATGTTTTATTATAGGGTTCAAAATACTAATAAAAATGTGGAAAAAACGGCGGTTGTATTCGGATAAAGAACAAAGACTGTCACATGAACCTTGCAACACATGTCACTTAATTTTAAGCAAATGCCTGCGGTTTGTAGTGCGAGAAATTTCCCCGGGTATCTGACATGCGCGTCTCTCAAGCCTGGCTTAATTAAGCTTATTGAAAGTTTTCTTACGGGAAATTTTACGACGTATTTTTTAAGATAGCGTTTCTATTGAAGGACCTAATAGTTCTTGTTTTGGCCCATACCACGTGGCCCGTTTGCTCGAAACGGGTTAACTTTAACCGCGGTAAAAAGTTAACCGCATTTCCCTACGAGGGGAAATTGTAGGTCACTTGACCGCCCGAGTAAGGACGGCGGGGAAACATGGCGGTGCCCCTGCGAGCGAGCGCCGCTCGCTCTGGAGCTAATATGTCGTAATAGCTGCAATATGTGGCGCGTTAGTCAGCAATGAATGGTGCAGGAGGCTTTCGCTTTGCCTTAACTCACTTAAATCACAAAGCGTGAGCAATGACCTTGCCGCATCACTTAGTGTTCATTCCTAAGCCTAAATGAAAGCGATGATTGGCGGCATGGCAACGTCTTTGTAATACTATAGGGGATTGCTTTGACTATATCGGCCGAGTATTGATAGCACGCAGAAACAGACAGCGCCTCATTATAACTTTTGCTAAATTTCCAAAGCACCAGGGTGCATGCTACGAGTATACAGTGTGTACTACGAGTGTAGTTACTCGCGGTGCACGCGCCAGCGTCTGCTGTAGCATAGCCTCCTATATACTGACAAAGCCTGGCAGATCGCCACGAGATGAAGCCGCCGAAATGGAAAAGGTGGAGCGGCAGACAACGGATGAGAGGAGAGCCACGTGACTGGCGCCCCGCTGCGGCGAGACGCCTGAACACACTTCTCCCGAGCGAACAAGTGTGTTTTGGGTTCTCGCCGCTCCAGAAGCTGTGCACTGACGTCCAGGTTTCCCGAGAAATGGCTCTTTGATGCTCTGTGCTAAAAGATCCTCGCGCTCTAAATCTGCGACGGTCATTCCATGGCTTCGTCGTCGAACTGCTAGGCTCTGTGAGTGTAGAGGAGGCTATGGCCGTAGTAACTGTTCTGAAGCAAAAGGCTCAAATAAATTTTGCCTTGCACGCACGTTTGTGAAAGCGTAATATAATTATTTACTTCGACTCTTTTATACGGGGAAGGCCAGCGCGCCCGGAGCGTAGAATTACACTTTCAGAATTCTCCTAGATGATTGTGTAATTTAGTAACCGGAGCCGGAGCCAAATTACATGTTTTTCAATTTATGATGGTGTTATATATAGTTCTTACATGCCGGCGAACCATGCTGCTGGTGTATTGCCCGCCTTTCACTGCTCAGTCCTTCTTCGTCGTTTTTAGGACTAAACTTCAATCAATCAATCAATCAGTCAATTTTATTTACATCATCACCAGATAGTGATGCGGGCTGATTCGTCCTAATTCGAACTTGGAAGGAAATTTCAACGAGGCTTGGCTTCAAATCAGACAGCCAAACAAACAAGGGTTAATTTAGTTTTACCTTACACAATAATTGTACCACAAAAAACAAAAAAGTGAAGTTTTTTTTTTAGCTTAAATGAAATGCCACTTATAGGTATTCGCTGCAACCAGCAGACGACACTGGCTACCACCCATAATAAAACACGAAGCTATCACTCATCCAGCCCTCGTAAAACTTGGCTAGGTACTTGTAGGTACCTAGTAAGGAAGGGCGGTTAACTTTTTACCGCGGCTAAAGGTAGCCGGCTTCGAGCAAACGGACCCTGGTGTTAGATCCTTGCTGTATTTTTAATTTCGGCCACAATTTTGTATGCTGTATTATGTCAGAACGTATTCCAAGAGTTCATTATACACAAGAAGACTGTGCTCTCAAATCTGCTGCGACAAAATTATGTAAACTAAATGCTCCCGTACATTTTGTTGTACTGACATCATACACACTGCAATAAATCAACTTGGACATTTAGATTCGCCACTTAAGCTAAGCAGGTTTCTATACTTGGGCTGAATATATGTCAAAGATTCCCATGGCCAAAATGTGAGGTCTACAAGAAAAAATAACTGTTAGCACATAATGAGCTGTGTCACAGTCACACATTAACATCCCTTCCGATTTAGAGCGATATTAGCGTAAAAAGTACGAAACATTCAGTCGAACTACGAATATATATTTGCAACTCCAACGGAACGTGTTTACCTTACGAAGCTTCATAGAGCAAATTTTAAGTTTTTTTGTGTTCTTTCTTTCGCCACGCAGTCGATTTAACACGATTTTACATATTTTGTCATACTGATGTTTTCGTCCGTTTCGAACTTTAAAGTTTATTTTTTTCGGCACAGCTTAACATGTAATCTCCGTGGCCAAAAAAAAAAAAAAAAAAAAAGCTGTGAGGGCAATTTGTGGATGCCAGTGAGCCATTACAAGGCGACGACAACGACAACGCAAAATAACGCCTATACATAGTAAACACCATTCGCTCTAAAGCACTGAAAGTAAAATATCTTCACTTATTAAATGATCGCTAAATCTTTAATGAGAGTCAGAAGCTTCCTTCGTTGCACTAAATCTTCGATCATTATCATAAAAATACGAAAACATTAAAAATTCTAGAGTATAAAACTGAAAACCATTTCAAATTACACTTACACTACAAAAATGCATGTGATTTCATTACCTTATTAACAAAATTCCTTTAATCTTGCATGATTCATCGTGGAGTAATCACCGTGAGGCCCACCTAGTTTGTTTAATAATGCTGGCACATTCTATGTTGTCGACTGTTGTCCGCTCCGTGGTGAGTGTTGTTGCTGTCATAAGTCCGTGGTGGAAGGTACAAACATGATAGTGTGACATACGCTATTTACGAGTGGCCGTGATACATATCATGATATGGGGAGCAATTGGCGAACAAATAATGAAACTGCGAAGGTTGATTTTATACGTTCAAGACGGGGTTGTCACGTTAACTGCACTAAACAAGTGAGCCATTCAACACAGCTTAGACGACCGGTCATTTATATATTTCAAACTTCCTAATCGAGCTCCGATTCCTCAATCATATCTGGAGCGGGTACAAAATTATGGTTCTATGACACTTCAGTGTCATAGAGCCAGGCGTTTGCGTAACGCGTGGGAACTCAGAAGGTAACGCGTTACTGTGTCTAAACCATGTAAACTAACGCTTTTAAAGAGTCCCAACTGTTTAAAAAAAAACTTTTTTGAATTGTTTGGTTCGGACACGCGTGTCAAGAAATAAATTTTACTCGAGAAAAAAAAATTTTAGAGGAATATTGACGGCGAAAGATTTATTTGAAATTCTGCTCGCGAAGTTCATGACGTCACTCGTCATTCCGAAATGACCATCTCGGTCGTGAAGGCGAAGCCACTCCTCCTCTCCCCACTGGCCCGAAATGTCGAGAGAGAAAACAAGTGGAAAGGAGGTGACTGCCGACTAAATCGGGTTTCGCGCCGTCAATATTGCACTAAAAAAATTTTTTTTTTCCGCGTAAAATCTATTTCTTGACACGCGTGTCCCAAACCAACCAGACTTTGAAATAATCGTGTTTTTTTTTTTCATTTTAGGGGCTTTTTAAGGCAATTTAAATTGCCCGCACAAAATAGTTCTTTTTTTTTAACTATTGCGCTGCAATTTACTGCAGATGTGCAAGCAGGTGGTGGAAGTTTACGGTGAAAAAAATCAAGGGATGAACTTACTTCGTTCGAGAGAAAAAAGCAAAAACTTGTTCTGGGCAACCACGCCGCCACTTCGCAGACGATGGACGCGTAGGGAAAAGAGCTGCCGACAGATGGTGTTCGCCGCATCGAGGGAGCGCCGGCCGATTCGGGTTCTTTTGGGAGATCGTCTGCTATCAACTCAAATCGGCTTGCGAACCGTGGACGCGGTGGACGCCGTCTGTCGGCAGCTCTTCTCTCTATACGCGTGCGTCGTCTGCGAAGTGGCAACGTAAATTGCCCAGAAAAGATTTTTTTTTTTAGCAAAGTAAGTTTATTTCTTGATTTTATTTCACAGCAAACTTCCAGCACCTGCTTGCACCTCTGTAGTAAATTGCAGCGCTAAGAAACCGAATTTTGCGGCACGTCTAAAATGTCTTAAAAGCGTTAGCTCACATGCTGTAGTCACTTTTCCCGGTAACTCAGTAACTACTTAGATACTTCCTAAGGGAAGGAACGAGTAATATATTTTCCTTCGTGTCGCGAGAGTATTAAGTGACGGTATTTAGCTACTTCTGGAGACAAACATGCACAACACAAGTCAGGCACGTAGCCAGGAGGGAGGCCCATGGGGCCCGCCCCCCCCCCCCCCCGAAATATTTCATTTGGTTGGGACCTCCTCTCCCGCTCCCCCTCATACAGCATTTTTTCATAGGCGGGCCCAACCCCCCACGCCGAACCAAAATTCTGGCTACGTGCGTGACACAAGTACACAACATAGTTTTCAACAAAGCTCCCTCGTTGGATTTCAAGGCGAACAAACGCTAGATAAACAAACACGTGCACGAGGAAATTCACTATAATACAGCGATTCCTGAATTAATGCGTTAGAAAGCAAGACAATATTATTGATGACGAATATTCGCTACTGCTTCAAAAACCGACACATTAAGAGTAATGAGAAAGTAGCAAGTTCAAAAACTTTCAACCGGGATGTTGACTGAAGCGGTTTAAAAGAGTGTCGCAAGTTGTCGGCAAGTAACGAATAACGCGAGGGATCAGATCTGATGATGTTGCAATTAATGCAAAGGTGTAAGCGAGCTGCACAAAAATAATGATGATAATAATCCCTGCAAAGTGAAAACAAGGGGGACAAAGGACAAATGAAAACCTAGCTGCGTATGGAGATTTGTGTTTGTCCTTTGTTCCCCTTCTTCAAGAGTTATTATCATCGTTATCAGATCTCTGTATTGCTTGTATAAGATTATTAAGGATAATATTAGTCGCAAAATAAAAAAACTTGTGACGTCCTTTAATTCAACCCACTTTTAGATGTGGCAGCCGCCATGATGGACAGTCTCCGAATACTTGTGATCCTGGTCAGGGAAACATTATGAGCCCTATCGGACGCGGCTTGCAAAACTCCGAATTTTCGGAATGTTCAAAACAAGCGATTGCAAATTTTATGAGGTGAGTATTCAATAGATATGTAGTAACTATCGTACTTAATTTGCCTGTTTGCGTGATGATGCTGGTAAGTGTTTAGAGCCTTGATTTACAAATTAGCTATTTAGAATTACGCATCAAAAAATTGTAATATCACCTTCACAAGTCCTCACAACTCGATAGCTGCTGCGCTTTCTGACGTATACCCAGTTCTTTTTTTTCTGTATTCATCAAACGTCCGCAGCGCCTGTATATAAGCATTATTGCGGGGTCACCATGTTTTATAACAAAGATGCCCAGTCTCGAGACACACCACGTCTGCCGGTAGTGACAGGGGGTAGAAGCTGAGCTAGTTGGTGGTACATATTACAACGGTTAAACCAGCTGAACTACGAAATTAGGGAGAAAGGAGTAAAGACAGGTGATCGCTGGACTACCAACTATTTAATACAGATTCTTCGTTTTCCTCTCATTGTCTACTGGCGTTGTGGCTACCTTCTCTTCTTCCTACTTGATTTTTTTGTTCCATCTCGGATACTGGTTTTCCGGAGGAATCTTTTTTCGCTTTCCTGTAGCGCAATAGATGGTGTACTAACGCAATTTTCTTCTTTATCTTCTATGGCCAAGGCCTCAAGTATTTCACGGGCGAGCTGGTCTTTGTGGTGAGCTAATATGGTACCCAGGTCGAGCTTAGCCTCGCACGTGCATGCTCGACAATGAGCGGCTAAATGCCCCGGCCCTGTTAGGGCTCTTATGCTTGCTGCATGCTCACGTGCTGCATGTTTGCTGCATGCTCACCAGCGATCACCTGTCTTTACTCCTTTCTCCCTAATTTCGTAGTTCAGCTGGTTTAACCGTTGTAATATGCCGGTAGTGAGTTCCATTCCATGATGGTCCGCAAAAAAAAACGTGAAAATTATAATCTACAGAAATATTGCTGCGTGCGAAGCAAGTAGGCGGCGCGCTTGGATTCCTCGAAGGTGGCCGCGGTTCGAATGTTGCCACCGCTTGTCGGTTTCTTTCTTGACGCAAGTAGAAGATTCTATAGAACGTTGGAGGGCCGCGTAGGCTTGTTCATGTTCGGGATGTATACTTCGAGAACGAACGAGGTAGAATGTTCTAGGCTCCCAGGGGAGTCTCAAATGAGGCCGCGCCGCGCCGAACAGAGTCACTCTCGCCCCAGCGCTCGATCCTGCTGTTTCGCCGATATCGACGCCTGCGACGCTAGCCTTCTTTTATTTGGTATTGGGCACAAGTTCGCCCCATTAAACGTTTAGTTTTCTTCGGTGATTCATCGCCTCATCAAATGTCATGCGTAAAAATATGAAATAAGAAAATGATAAAAATCCACTGACTACCTAAACAGCATTGCGATCCAACCGTTGGGTTTCATACGGTTGTACTCAGATCCGCACTATGGGAACATCATACTTGTAAACCATAAAATAAGGAAAATAAAGATAAAAAAAAAACGGACGAAGATAACAAGCTTTAAGATCTCAAGCTTTGAAAGCTCAGGATCTCAATGCTAGTTATTAAAGGGGCGATGCAACAATTCTTGTACTTTCCGCAAATACCGCTTAGAACGGATCCCTGTCGTTAATGACCTATGAAACACGCGTTCTTTTTTCACCCCACGCAATAGAAGTCTCAGAAAAAAAAAATAAAGAAAAACGAGCAGCGTTCGCCCCCTCAACTCACGGCCAGAACAAGCGGCCAAGTGATCTGGAGCCGATTATATGCCGCCAATGTTGATGATAGCCACGCGCTGGGGTTGGCAGAGCGCAGGACACGCGCTGAGTTCCAGACATTGTTATGGCTCGGCTATTGTCGTCGTTGCAGCGATTGGACACGGGCCACTACCCGAATGCTTCTCGAGCTATTAATTATCACGAGCCCAAATCGAGTGCCCACGCAATGCTCGGGTCCAATCTAAGAACCGCATTCAAATATCGTCATTAGGGTGTACTGTGATCTCCACGTTACGTCATCAAACTTTGCAAAGGAGAGATTGAAGGAAAATGATCGCTTTTGTCCTTGAAATTACACCGCAACAAAGGAGTTTCGTGGCCAGCGGCGTTGCGTGCGAGTATCCTTTAGTCCCATTAGTGCCAGTAAGCTCGTGTAAAGTTAAAAACATTCCAATTGAATATCGTTGTACCGCTCCTTTCATTTACACCTTGAAAGCAATAATTGTTGTCGTTTATCCTAAACATTTTTTCTTTGAGCGTTACAGATGTATCTGTATTGTAGGCAGCATCGGCGTTTGCAGTAGTTTGCTTTGTAAAATACTGGGTACAGTTCAATAATTTTCATGAAGACAATTAAGTTGTCGCTGTTATTTCATAAACCAACTTTGTATAGAAACCTGTCGGCAGACTGCATTGACGTTGCATCGGATGTGAATCTTCTGAAGAACGCCACAAAGCTTCCAGGAATCAAAATTAACGCGACGGTTTTATGCCAGAGGCTCTACCCGAATGCAGAATACATTCCGCAGGTAAGACACACACCACGAGGAAACCTGTATTCTTGTTTCTTCCTCTTTGAGTGCACGAAACACGGATTTGAATTTCCAGGGTGGAATACGATTGTTCCCAGTAGTTGAATTGAATTACTGAGGCTTCTATCCCCCGTAATTTGCAACAAGTAAATACATACAATTGTAAAAAAAAAGACATACACAAAAAATCTGGCAGTAATGCGTACTAAATATCCACATTTCTGTAAAAAAAAAAAAAAAAAAAAATTTAGAACCTACTCAACAAAAAACCACCGTAGATTTTTTAATAAAAAAATAAAATAAAAACTTTGGACACAAAAGAATTACTGGGCATTCACTGTAAAAAATGTCAAGTCATGTTTAAGAGATCATTTCTAAATTGACGATAAATATTTGGCTCACCATATATGGTGAGCCAAATATTTATTGTGAATTGACCGTTTCCGCGCCTCTATAGAGGCGCGGAAACGGTCAACTCTACGCTGGGGCACAAAAATACAGTTCAGATATGTTAGCACGAAAAAACAATAATATATCAATATTTCTAAATAAATGAACTACGGAACAAAAATTTCAATCCTAAAACAAAACAAAAAAACGGGGAAAGGAATTTTTTTGTTTTTGACTATTTCTTTTCTCAGTCGCGGATTATTTAAAGAGGTATTTACAAATTCAACTTAGATACAGTTTTATTGCATCAAACGCTATAGAAGGGCGCCATATAAATAAGTGAAAACATTTTTCTCAAGACCAATTTTTAACCTGTAAATAAAAACGTCCAAAACGTTTTTCCTTTTTCTACTTTTACAGGACAACTCGTATTTTCCCGATTGTCGAGTATATTGCTTCGATCCTGAGGTCAATAACTACGTTTACGACGCCTTAATAGATGGAATGAAGTGTGGAGAAGGGAAGGTAAGCACGCATTTGGTGACCGTAGAATAAGGATCTTTGGCCCTCATGTGAGGCGAGGCACACTCTGGTTAGGTCTAGGTACAGCTGTGTGTTTTCATGATTTCAAAAGGGCAATCTGGGCCTGTTTGCTCAAAGCGCGGTTAAGCGCTAACTCAAAGACTGCTGTGTCGAAGTATTGGGGAATTGTAGTAGACCGTTCCCGCAGCCCGCTAAGCACCCGGATAGCGCTCCGTAATCCGCCACAAGACCTTGAACTATGCAGACAAGGCTGGGAGCGCGCATGCGCAGCTGCGGCGTTTTCTTCGGGGATACCGTAGCGGAGGAGAAAAACGATCTACTACAATTCCCTATTGATTCCCTAGGTTTCTCTCGGTAGGCTTTCTTTTGAGAGGGACTCCGGTACTTGAAAAATCCCTCTCCTAAATACCGCGGCTATCCACGGTATTTAGGAGAGGGATTTTGAAATCACGTGACTGGCTCGATAGGGATGCGGGGAAACATGGCGGTGCCCCGGTGAGTGAGCGCCGCTCGCTTTTGAAAGTAATATGTCGCTGTAGCTGCAATATCTTGCGCGTTAGTCAGCAACGAATGGTACAGGGGGCTTTCGCTTTGCCTTACCTCACTTAAATCGCAAAGCATGAGCAATGACCTCGCCGCATTTTTTAGATAGTCTCTCGATTCTGGGCATTCCTAGGCCTAAAGGAACGCGATAATTGTCGGCATGGCAACGTCCTTAAAAAGTGGATTGCCTTGACACAATGGGCCGGGTATTGATAGCACACAAAAGCAGACAGCGTCCTAATAGACCTTTTTCTCAATCTCCCAAGCACCGAGGTGCATGCTGCGATTGTAGTTACACGCGTTGCACGTGCTGGCGTCTGCAGTAGTAATTATTCTAAAGCAAAAAGCCTAAAACAAATTTTGCCTTGCCACGCGTTCGTCAAAGCCTTATTATGATTATTTACTTCCAATCTTTTATAAGAGGAAGGCCAGCGCGCGCGGACCGTGAAATTACACTTCCAACGTTTTCCTCGATGCTTGGGAAATTTACTAATAGGTCTATTTTCACTGGAGCCAAATTACATGTTTTTCAGTTTATGATGGTGTTATATACAGTTCTTACGTGCTGGCCAACCATGCTGCCGGTGTACAGCCCGCCTTTCACTGGTCACTTCTTCCTTAATATTTCTAGGACTCAACTTCGTCGTCCTCTTTCGAACTTGGAAGGAAATTTCAACGAGGCTTGTTTTCAATTCAGACAGCCAAGCGTTTATAAATTTTCCAATCAAGGGTGACTTTAGTTTTACCCTACCCAATATCTGTACCACGAGCAACAAAAAATTTGTCTGCTCAAATGTATGCCGCGCTGCGTCGCGAGAACCCGTTAGCGCGCATTGTTGAGTCCCCCCTTTTTTGGGATCTTTTTCCACGAAAGCCACTTATATTCGCTACAACCAGTAAGTGACACTAGCTATCACCCTATAATAAAACGCGGAGCTATTGCTCATCCAGCTCTCGTCAAACTTGGCTAGGTACTTGTAGTTACCTACTAGGGTAGGACGGTTAACTTTTACCCGAGGTTAAAGTTAACCGGCTCCGAGTGAACGGGCCGTGAAGACAAACACCAATGCGATCGCGAACGTGGGAACTGCGTACGCCGCAGCCATTTTGTTAAACGAAGCGACGGGGCCATGCGTGGCCCCCTGCACCGCTACCGAGCCATTCACGTGAGTTCAAAATCCCTCGCCTAGGTGCTGCGGCTAACTTTAGCCGCGGTTAGCGCTTAACGGCGCTTCGAGCAAACGGGCCCTGGCGTTGAGATGTTGACTTCGTATGGCGTCGTTTATATACTGCTGCGACTAATGTTCTTGACCCTAGCTTCAACAAACGGAAGTATTTTCAGCTTTTCATGCTACCTGAACTCCCGTTTGTTTTGTTTTTTAACAGGGGGCATTGTACGGTCTTAAAGTGTCCCTGAATTTTATCCAGCCAGCAGAGGTAACTTAAGATACCCAAAGTTTCAAACATTTTTTTAAAGTATGACGTATTGTAAGTGGCACTAGTCAGAATGCTCCTATATCTTCCTTAATTGTTCGTGTTCTGAGTTTGCTGTCGCAGCGTTCTTTTCTGTCTATATCTCCGTACATCACGGCAAGGCACACAGGACAACACTCACAGGTTGTCCTTTAGCCAGTTCATTATTTGAGAAGGACGATTGACGTCGGTACGCTCCAGTGACAAAAACATTAGACGCCTTTTCTCCACTGAGACCACATGGTTGTACTCGAAGCAATCTAGAGCCCTGCTCTCCCGCAAGGTACCCGGGGAGCAAGTCGTCTGCTTTTTGCGCGAAGGTTGCAGTGACGTCAGAACGACGCTGAGTTCTGATTGGCCTTGATTGGAAGAATAGTGGGTACACCTCAACGCTAGAAGGTTGCAGTGACGTCAGAACGACGCTGAGTTCTGATTGGCCTTGATTGGAAGAATAGTGGGTACTCCTCAACGCTAGAAGGTTGCAGTGACATCAGAACGACGCTGAGTTCTGATTGGCCTTGATTGGAAGAATAGTGGGTACACCTCAACGCTAGAAGGTTGCAGTGACGTCAGAACGACGCTGAGTTCTGATTGGCCTTGATTGGAAGAATAGTGGGTACACCTCAACGCTAGAAGGTTGCAGTGACATCAGAACGACGCTGAGTTCTGATTGGCCTTGATTGGAAGAATAGTGGGTACACCTCAACGCTAGAAGGTTGCAGTGACGTCAGAACGACGCTGAGTTCTGATTGGCCTTGATTGGAAGAATAGTGGGTACACCTCAACGCTAGAAGGTTGCAGTGACGTCAGAACGACGCTGAGTTCTGATTGGCCTTGATTGGAAGAATAGTGGGTACACCTCAACGCTAGAAGGTTGCAGTGACGTCAGAACGACGCTGAGTTCTGATTGGCCTTGATTGGAAGAATAGTGGGTACACCTCAACGCTAGAAGGTTGCAGTGACATCAGAACGACGCTGAGTTCTGATTGGCCTTGATTGGAAGAATAGTGGGTACACCTCAACGCTAGAAGGTTGCAGTGACGTCAGAACGACGCTGAGTTCTGATTGGCCTTGATTGGAAGAATAGTGGGTACACCTCAACGCTAGAAGGTTACAGTGACGTCAGAACGACGCTGAGTTCTGATTGGCCTTGATTGAAAGAATAGTGGGTACACCTCAACGCTAGAAGGTTGCAGTGACGTTAGAACGACGCTGAGCTCTGTTTGGCCTTGATTGGAAGAATAGTGGGTACACCTCAACGCTAGAAGTTTGCAGTGACATCAGAACGACGCTGAGTTCTGATTGGCCTTGATTGGAAGAATAGTGGGTACACCTCAACGCTAGAAGGTTGCAGTGACGTCAGAACGACGCTGAGTTCTGATTGGCCTTGATTGGAAGAATAGTGGGTACACCTCAACGCTAGAAGGTTGCAGTGACGTCAGAACGACGCTGAGTTCTGATTGGCCTTGATTGGAAGAATAGTGGGTACACCTCAACGCTAGAAGGTTGCAGTGACGTTAGAACGACGCTGAGTTCTGATTGGCCTTGATTGGAAGAATAGTGGGTACTCCTCAATGCTAGAAGGTTGCAGTGACGTCAGAACGACGCTGAGTTCTGATTGGCCTTGATTGGAAGAATAGTGGGTACACCTCAACGCTAAAAGGTTGCAGTGACGTTAGAACGACGCTGAGTTCTGATTGGCCTTGATTGGAAGAATAGTGGGTACACCTCAACGCTAGAAGGTTGCAGTGACGTCAGAACGACGCTGAGTTCTGATTGGCCTTGATTGGAAGAATAGTGGGTACACCTCAACGCTAGAAGGTTGCAGTGACGTCAGAACGACGCTGAGTTCTGATTGGCCTTGATTGGAAGAATAGTGGGTACACCTCAACGCTAGAAGGTTGCAGTGACGTCAGAACGACGCTGAGCTCTGATTGGCCTTGATTGGAAGAATAGTGGGTACACCTCAATGCTAGAAGGTTGCAGTGACGTCAGAACGACGCTGAGTTCTGATTGGCCTTGATTGGAAGAATAGTGGGTACACCTCAACGCTAAAAGGTTGCAGTGACGTTAGAACGACGCTGAGTTCTGATTGGCCTTGATTGGAAGAATAGTGGGTACACCTCAACGCTAGAAGGTTGCAGTGACGTCAGAACGACGCTGAGTTCTGATTGGCCTTGATTGGAAGAATAGTGGGTACACCTCAACGCTAGAAGGTTGCAGCGACATCAGAACGACGCTGAGTTCTGATTGGCCTTGATTGGAAGAATAGTGGGTACACCTCAACGCTAGAAGGTTGCAGTGACGTCAGAACGACGCTGAGTTCTGATTGGCCTTGATTGGAAGAATAGTGGGTACACCTCAACGCTAGAAGGTTGCAGTGACGTCAGAACGACGCTGAGCTCTGATTGGCCTTGATTGGAAGAATAGTGGGTACACCTCAACGCTAGAAGGTTGCAGTGACGTCAGAACGACGCTGAGTTCTGATTGGTCTTGATTGGAAGAATAGTGGGTACACCTCAACGCTAGATGCCTGGAGGTCTAGCACTATATTTTTCAATCAGCCAATAAGAGCTCGGCGTTCTGACATCATAGCGACCGCTTTGCAAGAAGCAGACGAACGAGTTAGTCGCTGTAATCTGCCGACCGAATGGCGAGACTGGCAATAGGTTTAGACCCTGAAAACGGACTGCGTTGTAACACTCAGTGCGACATTTCGCAGTGTTCAGTGTCACAAAGCGCTCTGTTTTCCGGGAACGCGACAGAATAGCACACGACAAAACAGCAAGCGACAACACAGCACAGTCAAAACAGCACGCGCCAAAATAGCACGCGACAAAACAGCAAAGTGACAAAACGGCACAGCGACAAAACAGCACGTGCCAAAACAGCACGGTGTCAAAACAGCACGGCGTCAAAACAGCACAACGACAAAACAGCACGCATGTAGCAACTTCGAGCGCGCTCTTCACCCCTGTCTGTGCGAATAATTTCCAACCTCCTTGACCCTTTCATTTATTGTCGCTAAGTTATAAAGGAATTTATTGCCTATTTCAGTGCTTACCAAACTCCGCAACCCGAAGACGCCCAAAAATATAAAATAGAGTGTCACGACCCCCGCTTGCGCTTTTCAAGGGGTATACAAGAGTCAGTTTCAATTATGAGTACTAGTAGCAGTCCACATAATAAAATGTATACTAGAAATCTGAAATTCATTTTAAAAAAATGATGGCAGCAATTCCTTTGTGATTCCCCACTGGACCTATAGGACCCACAGTTGGTAGTGAATCACAAGTTCTAGCACAACAGGAGTTACCGATCGGCATCCAGCGTAAAGCATTCCCGTAAGATGACAAGCGGAGAGCTTTTAACAATCCAATTGTTTGAACCTCCTTTTACAGCGAAGCTGTTATTGGTACGTTTGCCAGATTTTTCCGTAAGGTGCACGTGATGGAAACATCACGTGCACCCTATTTTCAACTATAAAAAATTACTACACTTCACTCTTACGCGCTTATTAAAACCATATACCATCATATACCTTCGACCAAAACAGTTTCTCGCTACCACCGCTAGGGGATTCTTTTGGGCTTCTGGTTGGCCAAGGGAGCATGTCCAGCCCACTTTCTGCGTCTGGTGCACGCCCTGGCTCTGCCCGCCCCTCCCTTTGACCAACCGCTCTGTATACACGGCTCTGCTGGATGTACGCGAGCAGCGATCGCCAGAGTTTGATAGCGGTCACTTTGGGGAAAAAGATGTCCGGGCAGGCCCAGGCATGCAGCGAGGTAGGCCTGAAACTCTGCTGGATGGTAGTCAAGCTGCGGGTTCGGGGTTCTAAGTATAGCGGGCAGTCCCACAGCCGGTGCCCCAGATCAGCGTTTTTATGGCACAATGCGCATGTACCAGGAAGGCTGGTGATAGCAGCACCACTGCCCTTTTTACGGTGGCTGCTGCTGTGCTGACGTAACCGCTGTAGCAGGTAAGGGGTGAGGATGGTAGAGTTGAGGAGGAGGGAGGGTGTAAGGAGGGAATTGGCGGTAGCCAAGAGGTAGGCTCTGCGGTAGTGCCGTGCCTTGAATATTTCTTCCGCTGGGTACGATGGTAGTGTACGGGACTCTACTTGTTCGTGAGAAAGGCAGACTGTACCTTCGGATCTCGCTCTGGCCTACACGGACAGTAAAAGCGCGCGTGCGAGGCGGTGAGCTTTTTCGTTGCCGGGTATTCCGGAGTGTCCAGGTACCCAGTGTATTGTGAGGTCGTGCCCGAGAGCACGTAAGTGTTTCACGGAGAGTCTGAGCTGCTCAACAGCAACGGTGGTGTGCCGAATATCTGCACAAGCCCGATGTGCAACTTGCGAATCTGTAAAGAGGTGGAAATGGGTCTTGGTGTTGCTGTTATTGGACAAATCGTTTCCGAATCGAACATAATCAATGATAGCCTGCATTTCTGCTTGCGTGCTGTGAACAGGTTCCGTTGTGGCATGATACAGTCGCCCCTGAGTTGACGTAGTGGTTTCAACCCAAGCCGTGGCAAAATCCGTTCCATCTTGAGGACAAGCGGCGTCCTTGTAGACGATGCGGATATCTTCTTTCAGGCAGGCGGTTTGGGTCCACTTGATATGTCTCTTGACGAATGTTCGTCTTCGTTCTACTTGCTCGGGGGGCATATGCTGTGGCAGCGGTGTGGAATCGGTGAGCATGATGTACTCCCAGGGCGGCGACAGTTGTGGGAGGTTTGGAAGGTTTTTAATGTCATGTCCAAGCGTGGCTAGTGTGTGTCTGCCCGCGTGCGTGGATCGAGGCGGATTTCTTGTGTGTGAAGATGTGTCTCAAGAAACTCTGTGAGGTCATTAATGCCACTGCAGCTTTTCAGAGCTGCTAGCGGTGTGTAACGAGGGAGCCCAGTGGTTATTCGCCTTGCCTCGTGGTGGAGGCGCTCTAGGGCTTGAAGCTGCGTCCGGGTGACGGGGTGGTATGGCAAACCATACATCCCTTTAGCGTGAATAAAGGAGGTGAAAAACTGGCGAAGTTCCCGTTCTTTTACCCCCCTGGTACGGTCTGAGATTCTGCGCAGGACGTGCAGAACCTGTTTAGTGGTTGCGACAGTACTCTTATACCAGGAGTTTGCTTTGCATTTTTCGTCGATGAACATCCCGAGCAATCGGATGGAGACTTTGCGAGGGATGGGCTGCTCACCGATTGATAAGCTGATGTTGTCTTTGTCGGCTTCC